AAAAAAAAAAAAAAAAAAAAAGAAAAAAAAGAAAGTAAGGTTTAGTGTTCAAAAGCTTACAATTCAAAATATGACAAATTTCAAAATATAAAGTGAAATGTGATAAATTAGACAAGACAGGCTATTTTCAACTTATTTTCACATAAGCAAAATCAAGACTTTTCTTAACATTTAAATTATTATTTTTAAAAATCTTTAGGACAAATTTGGTTATAGCTAAAATACTGAACTCTTACAATGATTTATAGAAACAAATTCGTATTGCATCAAGAGAGACAAATATTGCCATGACATTAGGGTTAGCACTGAAATATGTACCAATTTGAATCAACAATATGAAAATGTTTTGTTTAAAACTACATATTTTTATGCTGGACGTTTGAGAAAATATTTAAGAAAATAAATACACTATTAAAAAAAAGAGTCTTAAGATACTTCATTCCTAACATCTCTTACCAAATCAAGCCACAAAAAATTTATATATATCAAGGTCCCCTAACAATCAATTACAAGTAGTTCAGCAATCTGTGAATATATACTAAATACTTTTTTCAAAATAAAACATCAAAATGATATGCCTATGGAATTCAACCAATTACAAATCAGATATATTATAGCTTAATGAAGCCCAGCTTCTAGGGTTCCTCAGTTTTACACATTAGTCTATAAAAACTGGTGTGAAGAAAGAGAGAAAAAGGATGGATGGATGGAGGGAGGGAATGTAACTGCTTAACTAAGAAAGGTATACCAAGTTTAATTTATAAGTAAAATTAACAAATGTGAAATAAAGTAAAGGTTTGTGTTTGTATGATTCTTTTCTTCAAGTTAAAATGAAAGAAAGCAGAAATATGATCCTTACATTATGTGGCTAATTAAAATAAGAAGCTCTAGCCAGGGATTTATCTCAGTGATGCTGCCACCTACCTCATAAGCACAAGGTCCCAAGTTTGATCCCCAGTAACTGCAAATAAAAACTAAACTAAAATAAAAATCTCTAACATTATATTGAGGGCATAAACAAACAATAGAACGTATAGAAAACCTACATAACTTTTTTTTTTTTGGTACTGGGGACTGAATTCATGACCTGCACTTGTGAGGCAGGTGCAATGCTACTGAGCTAAATCCTGAGCCCAACATAACATTTTTAAAGGAAAGCCTTAGTGGAAATGCTAAAATACAAACTGAGAGTAAGACTTGATAATACAGTTCTGGCACTGTTTGGGGCTCTAGAGTCCACATAAAAATTTACTTCATCATAAACAAAAAGAGTTTGAGAAGAACAATAATATAAGGAATTAAAATCAAAATACAAACAAAATGAGCTTAATCATAAAAATTTCAACCAAAAAAAAATTTTTAACTTACCATCAAGATAAATATCACTCCCTAGTTCTGCATCAACCCAAAATATAGTAGCCACAGCACCTGAAAATATATATTATGTTTATGTTGTATACATAAATAAAATAAGATTATTTCTCCAAACTGCAAAACATGATTTTCTTTAATTTTTTTTTGATGGAATCAGCAGGTAAAAACACAAATCAAATCTGAGATTCCAATCTTTACATAGGACTTACTGTAATAGGACCTTTTACTATTTATTTACAGTCACTTCTACCCTTTCTCCCTATTTCCTCAAAAAAAAAGATCAACCCTCACTATACACAAACAGCAAGTTTCTACAGATGCCAAAATGATAATTAGTAAACAATTCAGATATTATGGCTGTGTACATATTAGGACTTATTTTTCATCTCCTGAATATAAATAATCATATGCTTCACACATAATAAAACATCCTCAAAGGAAAGCCAAGAGAAGATAAATAATTCCAAAATTGCTTGTTCAAACAATAAGTAAATAAATTTATATATATATATATATATATTTTTTATATATGTATATATATATATGTATATATTTGTGGGGGGGTACTAGGGTCCTTGCACTTGTGAGGCAGGCAGTGGAACCACTGAGCTAAATCCCCGGCGCTAAATTTATAATTTTTGTAGGAGAAAAGAAGTAAAGTTGTAAATTCTCTCACATTACTAAATAATTCTCACGTTATTCATTTAGTACTGCCATACAAACTAGACAATAATGAATATAACTGTACTGTATACCTAAAAAGTACCAATAAACTCAATGAAAAAAAAACTAGGTCTAAGGAAAAATTATTTCTAAGTAAGAAATTAAAACTTGTTTTTGACAGAAACTGATTCAGTACCAAACCACATATCCTGATTAGTATGCCACAACACAAGAAAAAGAAAACGGACAGCAAGGAAGGCATTTGATTTTTCAAAGCATCATAGGCCCAGTTAGTGACAGTGCTGTCTAAAAGAATGAGCATAGGAGAAAAACAAGGATAACTGAACTCATTCCACTGTCTAAAGCTGTCCACCTATCCTGATGAGATGTGGTCCCCCAAGCATCACCCTGTGTCAACAATAAAATACCTGTCAGCTGTTTACAGTGATTACTCATGCAAGATATAGCAAGGGCTACAAGATCTAATAGTTTCCTGATACCTATTGATTTTTTCCCCAAAACTTAATAGTTTTCCAATCTGACTGAAATAGGATTTGTGAGTTACAGGGGCTGAATCAATGTCTATCCTTTTCAAGGAAATTACTTTACCATGACAATTATTTAGCTTAGAACTAGAGAGGGTCAGTCTCCTAAACAGGAAACAACTGAATTGCCAGTAAGAATTTTCTTCACTTTCTTGGCTAAACACATGATTTTAATTAATAGGAGAGAAATCTATAATATCATTACTCCAAACAGTAAGTCACAAAATATTAATTTTTTTCATTCAGTAAAATACCTAAATTGTATATAAATCATGTCATACCACTAACATTTGCTTATTATTAAGGTGAACTGTAAGAGGGCATCAGAATTTTTATTCTAAATATGTTGGTATACTTTGCTAGAATATTTACCAAGCCACACAGAAAAGAATTGTTTAAAATTTGGATGAGGGTGTTTTGCTGCAGTAATAAATGGAATGAATTGGGTGATTTTTTTTCTTTGCAGGGAATATAAGGCAAATGTCTGGAAGATACGTTTGTCTGTCTCTAGGGGAATGCTACTGGCACCTTATGGATAGAAGCCAGGAAGGCTGTTAAGCATTCTACAATGTCCAAGAGAGCTGCCCTGCACATAACAAAAAACAATTACCCAAACCAAAGCGTCATTTGTTCGAAGGCTGAGCTCAATTACAGATCTCTTCCTTCAAACCAAATAAAACAAGGCTGAGGCAGGTAGATCACCATGAGTTTGAGGGCAGCCTGGATCACATAAGTGAGTTAAAGACCAGCCTGAACCACATAGTAAGACCCTGTCTCAAAGAAACAAAACAAAAACCAAAAATAAATAAATTTAAAATAATAAAAAATTTAGAACTATAAAAAAAAGATTATATAACCTTGTACAATAAAATTTGAAGTGACACTTCAAATAAGAAACAAAGTTCTAAGTAAGTTATGCTCATTCCTACCTCTATTTCCAACCTTAATAAGAGGTTGTAGGAAAATAATCTAAAAATCCTAATACTTATCAGAAATACTTTACAAGGGCTGGGGATTTAGCTCAGTGGTTCCGCCGCCTGCTTTGCAAACACAAGCACAAGGTCCCAAGTTCAACCCCCAGTACAAAAAAAAAAAAAGAAATACCTTACAAAATGCCAAGAAGTGGAAACGAGGGAATAAGTAATATAAGTAAAAATCAACAACAACATTAAAAACTTCAAGAATAAGTTTCTAACCATTTCCACATTTGGGAGAAAGTCACTTTCTAGTGCAGAAAGCAAAAGGAAACAAAAGGTCTGGGTGCGATGATGTCTCTACACAGGTTATATCAATGTATACTTCAGTAGTTGCAGTCTTGAGAAGACTTTATGTATGTAAATACATACAGGTATTTTAAGAGAACAAAAGCTAATAGCCACATTACCTCATCTAGCTTTTTAGACCAACCATTTTTCCTTTGTCTCCCTCTGGCTATTCCTCAGTAATATCTAGCTTTTAAAGTGGGGCTCAAGAAAAACATGAACAAGATGGGTGGGTATTGGAAAAAATTCCTCATTAACACAACTAAATAAGTAAAAGTTTTCTGGGCTTCCAACATGAAGCATAAATGTATGCACATGTATTACAGCAGGAAAAGCAAGTACACACAAAGACAAAAGTTAGGACGAAAAAATACTGAAAAATAAACGGGGGCATACATATGGCAAAGAACTCATTCTGGAAGGAAATATAATCCAAGAAACCAAAGATAATTCTTTTGAAGAACTACTCTTAACAAAGAATTTAAAAGCAATGCACCCTTAATAAAAAAAAAATGATTGAAGAAAAGAAAAATCACAATAGTATGAAAAGATAGTGCTAAAGAAATTTGGAGCCAATAAACTCAGTTAACCATTACTCAAATGAACTACTCACTCTCACTTGAAACAGTAAGGAACAAAAAAGACACTAGTAGAAGCAGAATTACTGACAAAAAGGAAGACTTTAGATGATCACAGTAAATGAAGATAGATGCAAAATATGAATCAAAAGTTACTTAAGGAAACAAATAAAGCTCAATATGAAAGAAGCAGAGTATCCAATAATTTGACAGAAAAATTGTTCATGGTATTAAACAAGGAAAATGTTCTTACAAGAACTAAGGGTACACTGTATTTCAAGAAAAATGTATCTTGTGTATATTACTGAACTTGAGAAATAAAGAAAAAAATTTTAGGCATTTTAGATGCAAATCACTTTCCAGGAGGAAAGAAGAATCCAAGTTCTACAGTAATATGGAATGTTCCACTATAATAAAATAGTGACCACAAAGTTCTAATGTAAGTATTCCCAAAGGATAACTACCAAGTTATTTTTCAGTAATGCCAAATAGTCTCAAACATTAAAAAAGTAAGCATTGAAACTCAGAGATTACAGCACTTACAAATTCTGATAAAAGGAGAAAAAACTGGACAAGGAAATTCAGCTAATTAAAAAAGAATAATTATGTAGCAATATTTGCAAAGTCCCAAAGGAAAGAAATTGTGATCTAGAAATTCTATATCTAACAGAATGATCCTTTAAGTAGTAAAACAAAAAACAAATATTCTAAAGAACTATGTAAAAACTCAGAATTCGGCATCAACAACATGAAATTACCTGACTATAAAATTCAATTAATCAGGAGATTGTTTTGTTTCATTGTGGTGCTATTAGATGCAACCCAGGGCCTTGCACACACTAGGTAATCACTAAATCAGCCTCAAGGAATGGCTTAACTCAAGAATGGAGAAGACAAGGTACTGATGAGCATTAACCCATTTAAACACAGAGGGAAAAAAGGATGAAAGAATGTAAATGTTAAAACCTTGTCAATATAAAGAATACAACCCAACAAAATTAGGAGATGGGACAAAATTAACAGCATAATTAGCTCATCGTTTACGAGATGGAGTCAATACTCATCTGAATATTGAAAAAATGTAGTTTAAAAATGTCTACTTCACATTCTCTGTAATTTTTTTCTCTTTAATTCATATTTTTTGTGAGGGAAAAGTATATTATCTGAAAGTCAGCAATTTCTTCACTTTTCAGTTTCTCTTTTTTCTGTCAGATTCAAATAATTAATGACTATTAAAAATACTCTGTATATGTAGGCACTTTTCAGAAGGGCATATAGAGCAGGGCCTCCCAAACTAACACTAGTAAAAAAAAAATCACCTGGAGAATTTACTAAAAAGATTTGCTGGGCTTCACCACCAGAGATGCTGATTAAGTAGATTTGGGTTGGTCTCACCCATGTGCTTCTTTTTTCTTTTCAGTATAGGGATTGAACATAGGGCCTTTGCAAAGAACTACAACCACATCCTTCTTTGAAACATGGCCTTCCTGAGTCATTAAGTTGCCCAGGCTGGGCCCGGTCACGTGATCCCCCTACTTCAGCCTCTCAAGAGTGCTGGGAATACAAATATGCCCCAGAAAGCCCAGCTAATACCATGCGTTTCTAACAAGCTCCCAAATGAGACTGACATTGCCATTCAACATACCAAATCATGGAGCACTACCACAGAGAGATATCCAGAATTCAAGGTACTAACTTGTGTTTCATGGTAGTGACACAGGATTTTTTTTTCTTTTTTTTCTATTTTTGGTACTTTTTAAATTCTTTTATAATGAATGTTCCACCTTTATCCAAACAATACAATTATTATTCTACAAAAAAAGAAACATTAAACTATTTTTAATACCTATGCAAGTAGAAAAGCTTTCTGAGATCTTTTTCTGCCTCTCAAAAGTAACAAGTTTTTCCGTACAAAGTGGCAGAGGAAGATATAAATTCTGTTTCTGAAAGGAACTATTATTTACTATTTCAAAAAGAGGCATATATAGCTAGTTGTGGTAGCACATACCTGTAATCCCAGCACTTCAAGGCTGAGGCAAGAGGATCACAAGTTCAAGCTCAGCCTGGGCAACTTAGTGAGACCTTGTCTCAAAATGAAGGCAAAAAGGGCTGGGAATCAAGAAATAAAACTTCAAATTCTATTAACACTTAAAAGTGCCAAGAAGTACTCTGCTCATTCATCTGATACAATCCAGAATTTTCATGTTTTGAAACAAAAAAATACATAAATCTAAAATAAAGCTTTAATATTCATTTTAAGAATCCTTCACTTTCTGATACCATTGGGTCGCAGGCCATGGCAATCACACCTATACCCCTACGCTGTATTCCTCATTTTGGAAAAAGATAACAAGGTGTCAGGTACCACAGGTGCACAATATATAATCTGAAAAGATAATTGTGCACCATGGGGTCATTTTGGGTCTGAGAACTAACAAATCATTATAATAAATGCATTGCACACTGAGGTCTGTTTTTTCACTTAACTGTAAATGGCAAAGCATGCTATTTTTTTTTTTTTTTTTTTTTTTTTTTTTTTTTTTTTTTTAGTGCCAGGGATCGAACTCCGGCCCTTGCCCATGCAAAGCAGGCAGCAGAACCACTGAGCTAAATCCCCGGCTAATAATGCTAATTATTGATTTTAAAAAATTGCTCACTTTAAATATCTCTGATACATCTATTTAAAAATGTCAAAGAACTACCTTCTGGTTATTCATAACGTCACTTCTTACCAGGATCTGCTAATCCAGTGGTCTCTAACAGAATGTAATCAAATTTCCCCTTCTTCTGCATCAAATTCTCAATAGCCCTAAGGCCACTATCCCTAGAGAAGACCAAAATATACCACTGTTGATTACTCATATACTTCTAAATGATCATTTAAAACATATTCAACAAAACATAAAAATATCTTTATGCATGTGAAAATTTAACTCTTTCTTAAGCACCTAAGAAACTGTCTATCCAATGCTAACCAGTGAGGAAAAGGAAATAGACATATACACAGAAAAGTTAAAAGAAGTTATGTATGTAATGAGTTAACACTTTGACTTATTGAGTCAGTGTTTCTTAATTTACAGCTTTCTGGGAGATAAAAATGAACATCCAAAATAATAAAATTTATTACTTATAGAAGTTTAAAAGCTAAAGGGTCAGGTCATTAAATACCATTTAGTTCTATCTTGAATTAGTATACATTTTATTTTAAATTATGATATTCTTATAACAAAAAATGAAAGAATATTGTATCACATCTCGGTTCAGAAAATTTGTTATGACTTCAACCCTCCTAATACATTTGATTCAAAGTCAAATATGTAAGGTAGTCCATGGTGTAGAAAAAAATTTAACTCACTAGAATACACAAAATCAGTACTACACGTACTAATTTTCATAATTTATCCAACAAATATTTTAGTTGCTATTCTGTATCAGGTACTCTTCTTGGATTTATGCAGCTTAATAAGTCTGGAAAACTTAACTGTTTCATCTTGTTTGGAGAGTCATTTGTTTTAAAAGAGGTTTAATATTTGGAAATAAGACTGATGTATTAAATTTAGAATAATGACTTCTTACACATGAGATTTTCATGCACCTTCTCTTTCTGTGTGTGTGTGTGTGTGTGTGTGTGTGTGTGTATTTTTATTTTTATTTTTTGAGACAAGGTCTCACTATGTAGTTCAGGCTTGCCTTGAACTCACATTGTTGCACAGGCTGGCCTCAAAACTTGTAGTGATCCTCCTGCCTTAGGCTCTACAGTGCTGGGATTACAGGTGTGTGCTACCACACCCAGCTTGTGCTCTACATATTATTTAAATAAACACTGACATGGAAAAAAATCTTTAAACTCAGTAAAAGGACAAAAGCAGTAGAGTAAATATGAAAAAAAAAAAACAAGAAACACTTTAAATAACTCTTGAAAATGTATTTCCTATTTGCAAATACAATGAAGCAAACTGTCTAAATTCAGTTAACTTGCACAGGAAAATCAAAGCTGGAATAAACATTTCTAGTAAACTAAAACAAGCACAGAGTAAACACATTCCTACTTCATTGAACAGCAGAGGCATCCATTTCCAAGTTCCAGCCACTCTTCATAGAGCTCTCCACCTTGACTTACAGCTAAGGATTTTTCTACTGCACTTCCTAGAAAAATTAACAGGAGGCACTCTTTAGACTATTCACAAGCCAACCAAAAACAAACATGGACATTTCAAAGCAGTAACTCCATTTTATAATTTTAATTCTTTCATTCTGCCCATTCAGTTTTAAGACTGAAATTACAATACTCTAGATTATTTTTGCTTTTCTGTAAGACTTAAACCTCTAAAAAGGCAAATTCAAAACGACTTCCTTTTTAAGCCTCTTACTTGCTAATTCCCATTTCTTAATAAAGTCACTAATGTGGGCCGGGAATTTAGCTCAGTGGTTGGTTCCACCACCTGCCTTGCAAGTGCAAGGTCCCGAGTTCAATATTCGGTACCCAAAAATAAAAAAATTAAAATTAAAATAAAAAATAAAGTAACTACCTTGAGAACATTTTTCCCTGCCTACAGTAAATCTTCTAGGTAGATGAATATATTTTATATATTGGATTTTGTATGCCCTCTGAACTCTTATCAGATTATCTTATCTATTTTTTTCTTTTCAATCTTCCTCTAAATTGTTTTTATTGGGAAGATTGCCCACTATTCCCACAATGAGTAAACATCTTAGTTCATTGTGAAAAGGTTTTGGCCAAGTTATCATGTTCTCATTTAAAAATGAAACTTTTAATCAAATATACAAAAGTTTCCTATTAATGCTTACTTGGGAAGAAGCACATATAAAATATCTGTTACAAGACTGATTCTAAAAGTTTTAGTTTGCCTGTAATAAAGAAATATACTAGGGCCGGGGCTAACCCCTCAGGGTAAGATCCATAAGGCCCTGCAATCAATCCCAGGAACCAAAAAGAAGCAAAGCATTATACCAAAACCAGAGCACAGTTCTAAATGTTCAGGAAAACAAATGGTCAAATGCAAATGTGTGTGTGGGAAAGGTAATTTTCCATTTATATATTTTCCATTCATATTTCAGTTAGGTGATATAAAGAGCTGTCAAAGGGATTGCTTCAGAATTCAGGCTATATAAGACATGAAGGAAAGTACTGAGAATGCTATACAGGACAAAATTGTGAAAATTATCCCAAACAATGAAGAAAAAGACAAAGAAAATACAGTAACTA